AATCGACTTATGATTAGTCATTAGTGACTTAAGAGGGACCACTGTACTGGTCATTACCTATTTCAGAAATTACACCCTCTTGGAAACACTTAAGAAGCTTTGTCCCCCCATTCACTAGCCCGTTCTGAAAGGGGCTCTCTTTCATACCTGTACACTTTAAATCCACACTCAAGTAAAAGTACTGTCACTTTGGTGAAATAACAACTCAAGTAGAACTATACATCCGAACATAACTAGAGTAGAACTAGAAAAGAAGCAGCTTAAAAATACTATAATAAAGTATAGTAGTTTTATAGAACTGCAGTAGAACATCTTAGTACATCCAGCATCTTTCAGTGTAGGAACTTAAGTTTGTTTCTCTCTATTCTTCTCTTCTGATGCACTCTTGGTGTAAAAATAATCAAACCGAGAGTTTTGACCAAGTGCAAAGCAGTACTAGATATGAATTATGACTGAATGAAACTGAACAGAAACAAAGAATGTCATTCCAAGTAATAGTACTGCAAATTAAAAATAAGTACAAATCCATACTTCAGTACATGTAACTGTGTTAATGTATCTAGTTACTACTCACCCTGGTCACATCCCACTTTGAACATTTTGGTATCTTGGTAGGTCTAACAAGCAACAGCATCCATAAATCTATTCTACAATACTTTTGCATCTGCTAGTCACAATCAGTCATGATATATACTGTTGTGAATATCCTGTATATTTAGTTCACGTACTGTGCTGGACTGTAACTATAACATATCACATTGCATCATATAGTTTAACCTGGCTGTGTCAACATGTTAATTTGTGTGAGCAGTTATTTTCAGTTTCTAAGCATAGCTACCATCAGCTAGTTAACGCAGCAATAAAGCTGTGCCAGAGCCAATCACATCCTTAGAACCCGTCCTTGGCAGCGCGCTCAGTTTAAGGAATTTGTGTTCCACAGGAGCAAAGTGTCACACTTTACAGTACATTTTACTGTACTGTACACTTTACTGTAATGTGTCTGTATATTTTCTCCGTCTTTCCATGATAAAACGTGCCCAAATAGCAATTTCTCGAGCACCCATGCTCATCCCTAACCAAAACCAGTACTGAAAGGTATTGTGACGTACACAACACAATAGCTAGATAACAGATTCATTCTTTTTTCCTACATTATCCAATTCAGCATTTCTTCTGGTATTGGCCCAAGACTGATACTGGAGCTGATACAGTATCAGAGCCCTCTAGACAGTGTATTGTATTTGTGCACTTTCCAAGTGACTCTGATTGTGATTTTGAAGCAGCTTCTGTTTGCCACACGCTCGGCTAAGCTCGCCTCTCTCTGTCGAGCTTGTCAACTGCTCCGAGCTCGCTGTGGCCATGTGGCACGCTTCAGCTCCGCGCAGATCACGCACACGCGCTGCACACAGCTCAGGCCCCGAGTCCAGACACCAGAGCCTGACGTTCAGGCTGAATTGAAGATGGGTTTGATAAACGTCATGTAGCAAGCGTGAGGTACTGTAGAGCTGTTTTTCAAAATGCGTAACACAAAACAGCCAAGACCTTGTCATCACAATCTGATAAGGGCTATTCACTATCAGAGAGAGGGTGAATCGTGATGTGCGATAAGTAGGCTTCAATTTTCCACAGCAAATATTAGAAATATTAGTAATTACGAGAGCACGGCTCAAAGTAGCATAAGGTACTGATGTAAATGAGAGCATAACACGGCACAATAACCTAATCTGATGACTCAATCTGCTTTATGTATTTGTTTCTTCCTGAGTGGAAAAAAACATGATTTGAGGCTTTCTGTGCCTTATGTCTTCAGCAAAGCAGGTAAGACACTTTTTTTGCTGTTTGCACTCAACCTTGTGCAAATATGCTCAACTTGCCCCATGTCTCTGAACGAAAAGTCTGAATCAAAGGTTGTTTCTGCAAGCTTGGCTAGGCTTATTTCACTCTGAGCTAATCCTTTTAGAGAAAGCACATATTGATTTTGTCTTTACGACCTTTGCCTCAAAGATGGCAAAAGGCCAAAAAAAATGTACAACGTGCCTAAAAGCGTTCTTGGGAGTGAAACCACCTTGGTTCCCTCGAGAACCTTTCAGTTGAGTGGTTTACAAGGGAATTTCAGTGAGTTTTCAAAAAGTTTTTGCATAGTTAAACGGTTACAATGTATACAAAGTCATTCAGAGTGGTTTGGCGTGAGATGCTCTGTTCTAGAGAAAAGTACTGAATCAGAATTGTTCACAGTGGTGGTGATGGGACCCAGACGTCAAAGAGTTTAACACCTCTAAAAGCTCCCTCACAGAAAACTGTTATGTGAAATGGTTATGAATATGCCGCCTGATGTCTGAGACATTGTTTTACGAAAGCTTTGACTTTGGCCTACAACTAATTTCAAGTTCATTCAGGGTGGAGAGGTACATGCAGGACATTGTACGGAAAAACAATCCGCAAAGACAATACATTTTTTCAGGTTCACCACTATGTCACCCTCATGAACACAAGACACGTGTAGGTTTTGGAAGGTAAATAAAGTGGCTATATTAGTGTGGTAGACATCACAACTTCTGGGGCCGGATTCACGACAGTATCTTAAGAAATTCTTCTTAAATGGGTGTTTTTTCATTCTCAAGACAAAAGTTACAAAAAATAGTAACACATAGTAATAGTAAGTGTTATTCTTTAAAAATATGTTTGAGAATTGCATTTAAGAACATTCTTATGAACTTTCTTAACCTTCACAAGTTTTTTCTTTCTTGAATCTGTCCCCTGGTTCTTATCACTACCACTGTGAAGAAATCTGAATCTGTAAATTTCTCTACACCGAACCATTCACATAAAACCAATCTGAATGACTTTGTTTATGTCTCAACCATTGAATTATGCAGAACTGAATTTGAAAAAAAAAGTAGAATTTGCCTTTCATTAAGTTTTTTTAACACCCATTTGAAAGTTTTTTGGAGAACCAGCAGTGGTTTTCTATGCTATTGCTCCAAAAAACTCTTTCTGGCATCTTTATTTTTAAGAGCACAATTCTAGCAAACAGCTGTGACTTCACAATGTTAATTTGAGCCATAAAGACACAATAAAAATCTTCTGGTATTATGAATATGAAGCTGAGCTCTGGTGTAGAGCCCAGAGTATTAAAGCACAGGCACTATTAGATCACCTCCTTTTCTGTCCCAAGAAATCTCTAACAGTAGGATAATTAGAGCGAAAATGAGCTGTTTTCGGCACAAATGCAAAAAAAAGCTTCCAAAAACTGACTCAGTAGCTTCATTCTGGACAGCAGACTGGACCGGCATGTCTGTCTCTCCCGTCCACCCCCCCATAAAAGGGACAACAAACAATGGCGTTGTCATGGTGAAATCAGAGCCTTCTGCCACAGCAAGGCGGCAGCTCCCGTCACTTTCAGGCAGATGGGAACAGCCGCTGTCTCCACTCTTCCCTGCACACACTCTGGGCTAGAGTTTACAGACAGTAATTACCACCACATATACATTATGGTGTGAAAACCACTAGCAGTGGGTAATGCATGCAAAAAGGATCACCACTTTCAACAAATGTGCTTCTTTCTCACTAAATATAACCAAAAACACAAAGAAGCAATGTAATACGGTCACGGAATTCAACTCAATTAAACAGTCTGGGAATAAATGATCTCATTAGGCCACTGTTCATTTCACTGCAGCAACCAGAGCTTTCTAGAGAGACTTAGAAAGACATTAATTTCACTGACGGACATTTCTGACAATTAAGTCTAATAAATCTGCCACAGCTGTCCCAGTAGGGCCGACAATGGACAACCCGCAGCATTTTGAGGAGTTCTCACTAAATCCGGACGTAGCAACTTTAAAGGGGGTAGTATAGTTTTCACGTGATACGGGTGATAATCAAATTTTTCACTAAAACTGATATTTAACTTTATCATAAAATGTTGTTTTTTAAATTCAGTGCTGTAAACTGTTTTGTAAAGCATGTGTAGCTCTTAGTTAAGAATTCAGCAAGTGTCAGGTGGTTTAACTAAGATACTCTCTCCAGAGATACTTGCTCTTCAATGCACAAAGTGCCAGAACCTTCAGCGCATGAAAACTGGAACTGTGCTTTCTCCATTGATCACTGGTCCAGTACTGAAGGTTCCAGTTTTATGTTTTTTGGTACCTGAACAGGACTGATACCAACAGAGCCTAATGGTACTTGAAAATGTTCTCCTCTGTAATTGCTGACACATACAGCTGAGGCCAATGACCATTATGTCTTTTATGGAGCATCGTTTTATGAATTGTTAAGTCACATACAATGATTTTTATTCAATATATGGCACACTGTGATGCACTAAAACCAGTTAAATGGGGCTAATTTTTAATGAAACATGCAGTTGCCCAATGCTCAAGTACCGATGATGTAAAGGATGTTCAGAAAAGCATACTTCGCTGTATAAAGTGGCTCGTCAGATCTACTTAAATGAATTACTTAATGTGGTAACAAGCAACTGAACTAGTTTTATTCAGCTTAAAAATCTATGTTGACTGAAATGATCGTTCATTCAAAGTATTTATTTAGGTTGAATAAAACTAGCTAATTTACTTGTTACCACATGAAGTAATTTTATTAGGGAGATCTGACGAGCCATTTTTTACACTGCATTGTACTGTGTAATGATTTATTACAATAACAATACATTTTTTGTTTGACTCTACACATGATTCTGTGTAAATGTAGACATTTCTGTGAGTGTATGAACGCAGAACAGTCCAGTATATTGTTAGGCAAGGTAGCTTATTATCCAAATTGGTCTCTTTAGAAAGGCAAAAAATGCCAAATCAGTAATTGAGGTTATTATCCTATTTGTCCCAGGCTTTTGAATGTGCAGTGAAAAAATCAAAACAATCTAAGTTAGCAAGCATTTTATGGAGCATAGTTTTACTTTACTTTATTAACACTACTTAAGTATGTTGCTCAAATATTATCACGATCACCCAGCTCTGTATCGGTTCCCACATGGCACTTACCAGTCTCTCCATCTCCTGCTCGCGGAGACGCTCCTCACGCTGACGCCGATGGTACTCCAGCAGTTCGTCCTCATTGTCGCTGATCTCTGTGATGCTGTTCTTGCGCTCCCTCATTCCCGGGTGGGCCAGGCGGAAGTCCCTGTGACCTGCCGACATCTTCCTGTGGCTCCTGGGGCTGGCCAGGGGCGAAGAACCGGGCAGAGAGCCCAGACTGAAAGCTGGAGACAAGGTGTTCCCAAAGCTACCTTTTCGCCCACTGCTGCCCTCCAACAGACAGGAAGTGGGCGAGGGGCTGCGTGCACGGACCAAACGGGGGCTGAACAGCTCCTCGGTGGGGGAGGCCGCTTTGCGTCTGAGCCTAGGACTATCTGGAACTGCTTTGGTGGACGGACTCTCCGGGGTCCGGAGGGTTCCCGGGAGAGCCCCAGGCAGCACAGGTACCCCTCTGCGGGCCACGGACGGGCTCAGAGGGGGCAGCTCCCTCATGCTGTTGCCACAGCCAGCCTCTAAGTTCCTTCGGGCCAGCCGAGGACTTTCTGGAGGCTGAAGATTGCGTGGCTGCGGCTGAGGCTGGATGATGTGGACGATGGGGTCCAGGGGAGGCTGGAAGGCTCGAGGTGGAGGAGAGAGTTGCTGGGACGGGCTGGAGGTGGGCGAGCGGTCCAGTTGGGGCTGCTCGCAGAATGGGCTACATGGGCGATCTTGAAGATTGTTGGCCATCTTTAACCTGGGACTTGACGGAGAGGAGCAGGGAGATGTGGTGGTGAATTTGGGGGTAAGTTTGGGGCTACCAGGTACCACTATCCTACCAAGAGATAGGACATCATTGGATACAGCAGATATGGCGACTGAAGGCAAAGGAGGGGGCAGTCTGGGGCTATCCGGAGCCTTTCCTACTAGGTTATCCTGACTCAGACCCCTACGGGTGGGCTTTGGGCTTGGAGGAGCTTCCAGAAGAGCCCTCCTCTGGAGCCGAGGACTCTCTGGAACCTTCTGACTTCCACTGTGGTTGGGCAACATGGTCCTAGGCTGAGGTACAGGTGGCTGGCTGGTGTAATTGTAACTGGAGGACCTGACTGGCACAGGAGGCAGAGAGGAAATCTGGTCCGGACAACCACTGGGCGAAGGACTGGTGAAGCTGCCACTGCTGGCAGCTGAGGGTGAGGAGAGAGGAGAGAAGGGTGGAGAGGTATTCTCATAGCTTGAGCCCACAGACATAGCACCAGGGCTCGTGGGGGGAGAGAGGAGGTAGCGGCCACCTCCGTTTAACAGTGGGGAAAGCGGGGACTGGGCAGCGGGGGGCCCAGAAGGCTTCTTAGGCTCGGAGGAGGAGGAAGCCTGGGCATCATCCATGACTAAGGAGTCCATAATGTCCTGAAGGTCCTTCTCAATGGAACTAACAATTGCACTGTGCTCAGGTTGCACTCTCTCTTTGGGGACTGGGTGAGACTCAGGTGCTTCTGACTGGTGGTTCCCATTGACCAGGCTCTCAGAGTCTGAGGGAAGCAAAGCTACAATCAGCAAAAATACAGAAAAGTCTCCAACTCTGAATTACATATACAGCAGCCAACCCAATTTATTTTATTTATGCACACATTGGAATCAGGTAAAACAGTTTTTCAGTATATACTGCCCATTCCAACTGGACACAAACACTACAGCTGAGTACTGGAGTTTTGCTGCGCAGGTGCCGAAGTGACAGCTCTCAGAAGAGGTCAAACACCTTAACAAGAACACATTTCACCATAGCCTTACATGCAATCACAGTAAAAGCTGTTATGGGAAAAAATGGACATTGAGGCTACTTCACTTTCTCTCAGATGAAGTGCCTTATTATGCTATTAACGTAATGGCACCTATGCTTGAGGACCTGCAAATGCTAAATACAGTCATGCTGCTGCCAAATTCAACACCCTGCCGAACTTAAAAGGCGCAGGATTCACAATTAGATACATAAACAGCGTGGAGAGGCTTTGGAGATAAACACAAGGGAAAAAGTGCCAGTCCACCAAACCACAGCAAAACCCTACGGTCAAACCACCTCTCAGTCAGTACACTCAGTAATGATTCAGCAGCTGACACAGATATGCAAGGGGTACACAGACTTATGTTGACTAGCCAAAGCAGATTTTTATTACGATATCAAATTATATGTGCCTGTTTTTGAACACAGGAACGAAAGCAAAAGATAAGGTTGTGGCTCCCAGCCAAATGAACGCTGCTTACATTTCAGGCTTTTTTGCCTGTTTTACTGTGTAACACGACGAACCTCACGACTGTCAGTGTCCTCATTACGAAACGCTCTCCACTCAAACTCCTCACAAATAATGCATAACGCCGTTAGCTCAACCAAAGCCTCCCAGATTCCTGCTCTCAACCACAAGTCCGTCTAAACCCAGTGAGGAGAAACAGTGAGGCTGCTGACACGTTTACTGCTCGAATTCCTACTCGTTTGATAAAAACAACCCTTGGTGATAACAGATATAGACGGTATCTTCTCTAGCACTAAGACGTGGACGCTTCTCTGCTTCCCAAATCGTATGTAATCAAACATCTCGGTTTTGCCTTCAGTCAAAGCGGCAGTAACGCTCAATACTTACATGGACGAATAAGCCTGACTGTTTTCGCTGCTAAAACCGAGCTCAGAATGAAGCAGCACGGCCCTGCATTCCGAATTGGACCGCCTGCGTTGCCTAAAGCCGGCCGCACGGTGCCCAGGCAGGGCGCAGCAGAGGTTCTGCTGTAGCCGGGTTGCGTGCGCTCAGGCTCGGCCACACCGCCGATCAGCCCCGCCCTCCCCCTGTCCGCGGTGCTGATGTGACGCACTGCTGGAGCTGCGCGGGGGGCGAGGCCAACTGCTGCATTCTGTTTCTCTTAAAGGGGCAGACACGCATTTCTTCACCTAAACGTGGAGTGTGGTGTGCCACATGCAGTGATTTCATAAGCTGCAGTGATTTCATAAGCTAACATTAGCACTGTTCCTGCTTTTAGCAGTCAGCTACTCAAATTCTAAATGTATGTATTATTTATTTTAACATTATTTTCAGTTAAGCTTTTCACTGTGTTCTTTCTTTTATCTCTGTGTTATTTATACATTTTAGTGCATATCTGTGTATCGTATATATCCCTGAGTCGTTTGATAGGATAGCAACCAGTGTAGCCATGTTTACAATGCCAATATAGCATTGTTACTGAATAAAGTAGTTTATTACTTAGTAATAAAGTATGTAAACTTCATTTATATAGCACTTTTTTAAGCCAAGGCTACAAAGTGATTCATAATAAAAATTTTAAATAAAATGAAAGAAAAAAAGACGAAATAAAAATAGACCACCTTGAAGCTACCTCTAACAAACAAAATAATAAACACGATAAAAGATAAACAAAAATACACATTAAGCATGCTTCCTATGATACTTCTGAAAGCTAAGGAATAAAATGGGTTTTAAGCCATCTCTTCAAAGTGGCAGTGGAATCAGAAAGTTTAATATCTTGTGAAACACTTCCAAAGTTTAGGGGCACAAGCGGCAAATGCGCAGTTCCCTCCCCTTTACTATCCAAAACGGCCAGTGAACCAACACGTGGCTTCTGAGGTGTTATGTGATGTTGCTGAAGGTAAAAAAGTCATACATCGGAAAACAACAAGTCTTCTTTGGGTTCTTTGATCTACAACAACTGTAAAAAAATGTATTTAAAAAAAGTATGTATAAAAAATATGTTTTAGGCCAAAGTCTTATCTCAAAACTACTGTAAAACAATGTCTCCGGCATCAGGGTTTTGTATCTATTTCATGTAATTACTCTCTATGAGGTAGCTTTTAGACACATTAAATGTTTCAGACACCTGGTTCCTATCACCACACGACTCTTCCGACTCTATGTGCTTATCTAGAACAGAGCACTCCACATGGAACCACTCTTAATGACTGTTTACATCTTAACCATCAATGCAGAAGTTTTGGAAAAAAACATTTAAACTACATCTAAATTTAAACTGCAATGGCCTGTTTGTGAGCCCACACTTCACTTCATCCCTCTCGTAATTACATAGTCTACAACTGTGTTGCCCAGCTCCAGTCTTGTAGTCCATCTATTTTGGACAGCTTCGCGTTTTCCCTGCACTCGCATATAGTCCTTAAGTTGCGAATCAAGCCATTATTGAGCTGAATCAGATAAACTATAGCAGCAAAACCCAAATACTTTTTGGAAATGCTTGCCACGTTTGGAAGTTTACGTTGGAAACATGAAGCCCTGGTTACATATCGCTGCTGTCGGAACAAAACCTTGTATCCCCATTTTTGTTGTTTTTCAGTTTTTGACATAATTTGAAAGAACCCATTATGCTACACATTGTATGCAAATTTTAGGATGAATGGACCAACAGAAATATCCCAAAAAAAGTCTCGTTCCATTGACTTACATTAAAAGTATGTTTTTTTCCTGTAAAGTTACCATTTTGGAGTTAAAAGGTTTTGTTCCAACAACAGCGATATATTGATCTCTGATATAAATGCTAAAATCAATGCTATATGAGTCCAGTTACAGGCCCTTTCCACTGATTTTAGTCTAAATGGAGACCAATTTGTAACAAAGACCTATCTGAGTGATTTCATGACCAGTGCTTATCAAGCAAAGTGTCTCAGCAGTGCTGCACAATCATCAAAATGTTTTGGAGACCACCCAGCGACACTGGACTGAGGTGACCGGATATGAGGGAAGGAAGAGAGGGGAGAAAGTAGAATGGGGTGAGGGGGGCTGAGATAAAAATACACTCTGTAAAAGATACCCCTGCTCCTTAAAATAAACAGAGTGCGTTCAACAAAGCTGTCTGGTCTGGAGATGAGATGGAGGTGGTAACAGCTTCAGCTGGTCACTGCAGAGTGAGACAGAGTGTCCACCATTAGGCCTTTAAACTGTGCTCTGGTAATCACATGGCTGACGGATCTGGTGAGCTTGCCAAAGACAGAGTGCTCTATTTCACATAATGAAATAGCTTTCAGTCAGCTTTTCATTCAGCAGTTTTGCATCTAGATTTTTTATAGGTAGAACTTCCAGTCAAAGTTGTATTTGAGCTATCCAGGCTCCGCCCACAAATGCATTATTCTGCAGTGACCATTGCAAGGTTGATGAGGTGTGGCATTTTGTCCCGTAATCAAGCTAATATTAGCATGGAAGCAAATTTAAATGCTATTGTTTCCAATCTGCCTCATGTCAATTAGCTACATCAACAAAGTCCAGATCAGTAGTGTAGCATTTTAAACTGAAAACTCAAGATTATGCAGTAACTCTAAACAAATACTGTAGTGGTCAGATGTGAATTATTTCACTTCAAGTTACTGTGTATGTAGTGACATCATTTTGTTTCATACAAGTTCTGTCATCAACATAATGCTAATTTACGCTAGCAGCTCTATGGGAATAACTATATTATGTTAGCACCAAGCTAACTGAGATTTATATACACAATCTCTCTTCGAATCTTGCATGACATACATGTAACATTATTACTTCCGTTCTCTATCTCTCTCTAAACTATATATATATGTATGTGTATATAATATATATATATATATATATATATATATATATATATATATAAAATAGTTATGATTATAGTTATGTATATACACATAGTTATATACATATCCAGAGTTTTACAGATGTATCTATGAGATGAAGATGTGGAAGCAAAATTACCCAACTGAAACGCTGAATCGCCAGTCGCAGAATCACAAAGCTAATTCGCTAATCAGCAGTGAATACAGCCAGAAGAATAAAGCCAATACCCCCTATGAGCACATATTTGTCTCTTAACAGCAACTAGGAATGCTTATTTGCGAAAAACAGAACCTCCTTCAGATCGGAAGGAATTCATTACCAGCCCAGGAAATGCAGTGGATCAGATCTGTTTACTGCTACGCTCGTACCCCGTGGCAGCCTAACAGGAAAAGGCAGGGCATAATAAGAGGCAGACTGTAGATGCCCTGTTTAAGTATATTTACAGCGCAACACAGGAGCCAGTCTGCCGCTGGGAGAGGGGAAGGCTGAAGGCCAGGCTTTGCTCAGAAACAAGGCTGAAACGAGACCTCATAAAAGCTGCATGGGGTGACTCCAGGCTCAGGCAGCGTTGCTGTGTCCCTGTGTCCGGAAGTGGTAACTGAAGGCGTGCACCTGTAATGGAGCCTCCACTGGCACTGCAACAATCCACACTATTCATCTGCACTGTGAGCTGCACAGGGGCCTCATCTCTGCGGCACTTATTTTAGGATGTAGATACAAACTCAAACACAAGGAGTTGCCTCAACGACTGCACTCAAGCCTAGTCTTGACTTTCAGGAGTATGCTGTGGGGTGATATTCACTACTGTTCAACAGTGGAATCGCAATGATTTTTGTTGTTTTATTCAATAATAACTTATGTGATATGTTAAAACATTACAAAATAGATACCTCAAGAAGATATTAAATGAAAATGTACAGTATTGTTTTATTTATAGTAATTTATTGTCAAATTATCTATGAAATTTCATCACTCAATCATCAGCCTGGACACATCTAAAATTTCTGCATCTAAAATTAGGGATGCATGATGATATCACATCATATTGGTGTTGGCAGATTTTTGCTCAAAAAATGATCAATGTCAGACAGATATTTCAGAAATTTGATGATGCATTTACTGTATTCTGGAAGAGCAAAACATTGAAACATATAACATTTTTACATATATAAATGTTTATATGTTGACTTTAGCAGATATGTACATGAAAAATGTTAAACATCGGCATCACCACACACACAAAATTTCAAAATATTGAGGAGCGATTCCAAATTTTTTAACAGTACTGTAGTCTGGACTCTTATTTCCTTGTCAGAAAATGAACAGGACTATTTCAGAGAGAAAACTACAGTAAAATTTGCTTGCATTAAAAATATATGTGCAATATATGTGATGTTTTAAATTATTCGTGTTAAATGTATTTAACAGCATTTTTCAATATTTAAATATATGTTAACACATTCATGTCATTATATTGCACATATGTGGATGAAATATGTAATAGTGTCAATTTTTGATATTTACATGTATGTAAATTACAAACATGACACATACTTGAATTATATGGAAATACAATTCCTATATGAATGAGTTTGAACGCAATGTCAACATTACTAAGTGTATATATGACATTTGTGCACGAAAACAAATCTTGTTAACTGCAAGGACCCATATGTAGGGCCACATTTCAGTTCCTCACTCTCAGCTCCATACCAGTTTTATAGTAGTTACACAGTAATCCACAGTAGTCACTGAATAAACAGTCTAAAGATTAATAAGGAAATAAATAATTTGCCTGTAGTTTATGGGCTTTAAATCACCATCTTGACCTCTAGTCCCACTATTCATGCTCATTTGACTGGGTGCCATTGGTTTTATGTTTTCACAAAGTGGGAGGTGTTTCGCACAGCTCTGGCTGCTCCAGAAAGAAGTGCCTGGAGCCAGGATGCTCTGAACAGCGAGGATAGATGTTTGGCTTGTTTAAGTTGTATCACAGCCAGTGTATGTCTATCTTTGTGTCTGTGTAGGTGTGTGTGGGTGTGTATTACCTGTATGGACTCTAATCATCATGCTAGATGTGTGCTGTCCCTCCGTCCTCATGCTCTTCATCCTGAACGCCTCCTCGGGGTGATTGAAGCGGAAAAAGGACGACTGGCCAAAACACAGCATACAACCTGCAGACACAGCCAAACAAAGCCGTTTCAGAGATGGTCGAACAAGACGTGTTAATCTGGTGGTTGGTCTAATTTACACAATTACCTCCTTCGCCCTGTAGCCCCCAAGACTACAGTCTGTTTGTCTGCCGTGTGCTTTGTTTATTTTGCACTGCGGCTATGAGGCTAATGTAGCTAACATTAGCTAGCTGTTCTTAGGTTATAGAAGTGTGCAATAAAACTTTGGGCCTGCCAGTGAGCCCTGGCCATTTAAGCGGTTAATACCTCCCCAATTAGCATTGTGAAAACTACATGCATAAGAAGCCGGTTTAGTTTTTGTTGTGGTGATTTTAATCCAGAAAATCATGCAGATCAGGCAAATTGATGTTGGCTACTTGTCCACTTAAAGTTCAATTTTTTTCATCTCTGTGACCCTGAAGAAATAAAAGCCCCCCCATTCATCATACACTTGCCTGAAACTGTATTGAGATGTTAAGCACACTGAATGACACAATGCAGCCATCTTTAAACTTACTTTTTGTCTGTAATTTGGTCTATTTTCCCACTGGAAATGAATCTATCTATTACTTGTTAGCTATACTAGCCTTGTAGCTCCAGTGCAAAACTAAAAAACTGATCTACTGCATTTGGAATGATGGAAAATCCTGTCAGTGCAGATTTTTTGGCCTAACCATCACTTTAAGTGCTACAATGCCAAAACTAACAGAATCAACGTATTACACGCGCCTGTTACATTCACGAATGATCACGACTCCGAAGCCTTCCAGAGTTGAGTGGTTTAGCACTGCAGTGTGAGAGGTACAGTTGGGGGCATGGAACATTTGCTCTCATGCTGTGGCAGAGAGGGATGGGATCAGGCATGAACATCATTCACTGCAGTGTCAGCTCTGCAAACTGCCTTATGGTGTGCTGAGTGAGGAGGAAAAAAAGACAAGACAAGCCTTGTTTCTGCCCTGTGGTTTCTGTTCCATTTACCTCACAGCTTCTTCGAGCATGTACGGTACATAAAACATTGTATAAGATGTTCCTATCTTTAAATCCAGAGCTACAGCTGGATAAAACTACAGGATGCAGCAAAGTGTCTATTAGGCCTACATGATTCAGACAAAATACAAAATATTGCTACTTATTGCAACTGCGATGACACATTAATGTGATGTGGTTAAAGACTGGTCTGTATTATTTTAACCAAATATTATGCTACTATTAAACCACGCTTCAGTTATTTAATTTCTAGTCAAAGTGGCCATTAAGTGTGTTTTTCATTTTTCAGCATCTGAACAAAGGAACAACTAAATATATCACATTTTCCAGTATTTAGTGTGTCCATGTTTTGACTTTATTACAGCTTCCATTCTTTAAATAGGCTTACTTTCAGTTTTTCAAATAAATCTGCAGGGATATTTTTCCACACCTCTAAAGTTCAGTCTTAGAAGTTGGTTGCATTTTCTACTTTTCACAATCCAAGTAATCCTAAACACATTCAGTTATGTTGAAGGCTGGACTTTGGGGTGGACAGTCCATTGCTCTGGGAACACCAGCAGCTTCTCAGCTGCTTAATTTTCTTCTTTTTTGTTTTCTTCTTTTCCTTTTTTCAGTAACAGCTTCCTGACAGTTCCACATCCTTTCAGACTCATAGTGTTGCGTTGCCTTCTTACAGTGGAAGGATGGACAGAAACATCTGTGGATTTTTCAGATCTGAAGTAAGTGTGGAGCTTGATTTTATCCTCTCTCTCAAAGATGAAAGCTTTAAGTGCTGTTGATCTGATGGTGTCAGTTTTGATGATCTAATAGGTCTTGCTGAGGTTGTTGGGAGTCCCATTTTCTCTGTATTTTTTAATACTTTTTTGAACACCAGTTTTGGAAACTTTTTTTTTCACTGTTTTTTCCTTCTTTATGACCAAAGGAAGACCAGCCTTTGCATCCATATTCCTACAAATGTGGTATTGCATTAACAAACTCAACAGAGAGCAGTATGTATCCAAACACACAGCACATATAGCTAAAGGAGGGGAAAGTTTTTTGTTCCCCCTACATAAAAAACAGATGTTCAATGAATAGAGCATTCCAGATGCCCTAGTTTGATTTTTTACTGCAGGTTTAAACAGGACAAGGTGTGACTGAAACACATGAACGCAGATGTTACAGCATCACCATAGCCTTATGAAGGCTGTTGACTGGCATACATGCAGCAGAATCAATGTTCTTGTCTCTGAACAGAACTGCTGATTTACATTCTAATAACTTTGACAAGTCACAGCACGTCACTGACAAGCCAACTAAAAGTAGGTGAAATCTAGTGTCTGAACCTAATATTAATAAAGAGATGCATTATGAACAGGAGACCAAACCTAGAACTTAAGTTCTAAGCTAAAGCAATTCCACCAGTTTTTTCATAATTTTTGAATCACTGAATCATTAAGATGTGAACAAAGGCATTCAGAGTATACTGATATGAAATGCTCCATTTTAAAGAAACTGGCCAAATCACCATTGTTTACAACTGCTGTGATGGGAACAAGACATCCAAAGCATTGGATGCCTGTAATTGGTTATGACTGGTTATGACGCTACCTGACATTTGAAACATTGCTTTATGATAGTTTTGAGAGAAGCTTTTCACCAAAAATATATTTTTGAAAAATCCATTTATGGCCTAGATTGGGAATGGCACAGTGTCTCCTAGCAGAGCAGAGCTGCCTGGGTCAGCACGTGCCTTTTCCAAGGACACAAGAGCAGTTTATATCTAGAGTCCTGGTACTAGCAACCCTCTGGTCCACTGCCCAGTCACCATCCAGGAATACTCAGTCAGTCCTGGCATTTAAGCTGGCGTGGTACTGTGGCCCATGCCTCTGCTCAAAACACCCAACAGCATGACTGAAGCCCACAGCGCAGGGTAGACGCAGATGTCTACATCGCTTTATCACATCATTACTGAGAGCAAAGTAGAATTATTTCAGTGATTTCACAATGTCTTTCCAACGAGACTGTTTTGCTGTCAAATTCCCAGCAAACTGTAGACTAACTTGGAAAACAACACAAAGAAAACACAAGAAAAGCTAATGCTAAGCGTTTACTTATCTTTGGATCATTATAGGGATGTACTTGAGCAAACATACAACATCTACCTGTGAAAAGCTATATGTTATGGTTGTCCTGATTGATAAAGGCAATTCATCCTAGGACATTATCATTTTATGACTGTACCAGTAATTGTGTTAAATAACTAGCAGCTGAACCATAAACAAATGTAAAATATTCTGTTCATTCACTAATGATTATGGACATCTCTTTACTGCATGATTGGTATAGTTGGTGTATATCGATATCAATGTATATCTGTATCAGTGTTATGTGATACAGGCCTTTGCAATACTGATATTGCAGAAGATGCAGTCCAAAGAAAACCATGTATCTCTATTTCTGTCCATTTTTATTTTTCTATATTATTTCAACACACAAGCTGTCCTTCACGTTGTGTGGAAATTTCATGAAGAATGGACCAATAGAAATGCTCTAAAATCATGACAATATGCAAATGAGCCTTTTTTGTTTTTTACCCAATTTGAGTCATAGCCAATTCCACCCACTAACTAGGTCTCCTTGCCAGACCTGGTGTCAGGGGGTCATTTAGTGCCCCACCAACCAATCATCACGTCCCACTAAACCCATTATTTTGTACCTGCTTCAGTGGTGGTGAGTGGCAAAAAGTGATCTAAACTTTCTGCACGTTGTTGAACAGCTTGCTATTTTTGGGAAAGGGAAGGCTAACACATGCTTCCTCAGAGACACCTGAAGCACCACCACAAGTTTTTAAAGTGCTGTTAATGCAACTTCATTGAACAGTTTAACATGCTTGGAGGAGACTCTTGGCTAGCATCACGCTAAGGGATGGAGGCCCAGGGCGGGCCATCCTATGCAAGTGAGAGTGAGAGTGAGGCCAGTTATGCTCTCGTGGACTAATGACCACAGAGGGCTGTGGCATGTGGAACTTGCGATCCCCTAACAATGGGGCCACTTAGGGCGACCAATCAGAATGTCCTACAGATTCAGATCCAGGAGTCCTTCTGTGTGTGTTCTGATAAACCACGGTATTAATGTAGTCCATTAATTAAATTATTTTGGTCAAATGCAGGGAAGCCTTTAATCATGTCACATTATTGATTCACCAATGCATTTTTCATAACATTGTCAGGCATATCATAATCACAATACTGCAATACGAGTTTTTGTCCATATCGTGCAGCCCTAGAACATGCAGCACTGTGTCTCTAACTGTGTCCAACCCTTGCTTGCTTTTCTTATCACTTGGCTACCTGCTGCCATACGTTAACCTTGTGTTTTAGAGCTCTGTCTAATACAATTCCACTTAGTGGTATGTGGTGAAAGGCACGCCCCTCAGATCTCTGTTTCTGCATGTCTTCATGACTGTGAGGATGATATTTATGAGCTCTATATTAGAGAACAGAGTCATGACTTGATTCGTGCTAGCCTGAATTGCAGAGGGCCTCAGTCATGCTCGACTGCAGACACACCCTCAGAATGCCATGCCCAGAGGCTATAGCTTTCAGACGACGGTGACTCCAATGCTTAGTGGCTTAGTGTTATTCATTCATCACTAATCACCATTCCTGGGCAGACAGCCAGTGATTCAGGTGCTGAGGTATAATGCTAGTGTGGTACTCCAAAAACCCCCTTGAACCCTATGCTTATTAGCCAGTAGACTTGTTATTCAGTAAATACTATGATTTATTTAGTAACTACAGTATAACTAACATATGTTATGTAGTTATAAGAGGAAGTGTAGTCATACGCAAGTATATGCCATATACCTGCTAGGGAACCACTGCATATACTCGCTTACCAATGCACAATGAGAGGTAATACATTCATATATTTGGCCATAACTAACTTTGTGAGTTTTTCTATGTAATGTTGATAATGGTAACATACGGTTAGATTCAAAATCATACCTTTTTTGGGGGGGAGACTATTGAATG